TAGCTGTGTTCAATAAATCTTACTGAGTGGGTCCTCTCTCCTGCTAGAACCTGGTACATATTTCCCAAGGGGTAAGAAGAAAACACACACCTCCTTTTTCTGCTTCTTGATCACAAGCTCCTTCTGACCTTAAGACCTTTGTGCTTGCAGTTTCCTCTGCTTATTTAAAAGTCATTTATTCATCAATAAAACAAATAACAAAATACATTTTACATATTTAGCAGTGTTTGTCACTCACTATGTGTTTAACACATACTAGTTAATGTTGTTATTGTTGTGTTGTGTTAAATATGTATAAAATCTGTAGGTACCAGGGTGGAAATAGGTTTTTACTTGAAGTTAAAGAGCATGGTTTTGATACTGTGTCAGTTTAACTAATATTGAAATACTACATCTGTGCCAATTATTATTCATCTTTGGTGCATTTCTACAGTTAATGTACTTTGTATGCCTGTATTTTTCAGAAGAGTTATGGTTTGGGGGGTTTCTTATTCATTTTAAGTTGAAATATGTCCTAAGATTGCATAAAAGAGGGTAATAATAACTATACACTATCTTGTTTTGTCATAGTGACATTTTAAAATAACATGCGAGGTGTGTCTAGAAGGTATCCAGCTATGTAAGGTGAAAAGTAAAGACATTTATTAAAGAAGATACAACATACAAGAGACATTGTGCATAAGACAATGACGCCTCAGTCCCCTTTAAAGTCGGCACCTTGGGACATCATAGAGTTCTCCCAATTGCCATCAGCTGCCCCATCATATTTCCTTGGAGCTCATCGATGGTCTAAAATCTCTTCCCTTTCAAAGGAAATTTTAGTTTTGGGGAAACCCAGAAGTTGAAGGGTGCCAAAGCTAGGCCACAGAGGAGCTGAGTCACCTGGGTGATTCCATGTTTGGCTAAAGAACTCTGCATGAGGCGTGATGCATGAGCGGTCACGTTGCCGTGATGAAGCTGCTAATCATCAGTTGCCCATAGCGGCAGCCTTCTGAGTCATCTGAATAGTTTCTGCAGAAGAATGTTCAAGCTTAATGCAAAACTGGATGCAGATTCATTGCTCCTCTTGCTCAGTCTTTTTGAATGTGCTGGCCACACAGTACACATGTTCACTCTATGGTGTCTACCGCCCCCCACTGATTAGTACAGTGATGTCATCATTGCTCACGCATGAGCATGTGCATTCCAGTCCACTCTCCTTGGCTGCCAGGTTACATCGCTGTCACACAAACCATTCTTGTTATATTAACAATGGCTGAACTTTTTCCAGACAGGCCTTGTATGCATGAATTTTAAAATAAATTAAATTTAATTAAGTAAGATATACATAGTTAAAAAACAAAAACCAATCATCTCTTCAAAGGGCCTTCCTGATCACTGTCTAAATCAGGGGGTCCTATCATGCTCTCTCACCATCTCACCTTGTGCCTATCACAGCACTTACCACATTACGTAACTATGATTGTTTCCTAGTTTAATGTTTGTCTCTCCCACTAAACTGTGAGTTTGACAAAGAATTTTGGATCTTGCCTGTTGAGTTCACTGCTATGTCTCAGTGTAGTCAGTGAGCAGACACGTTAGAATTCTGTAACAAAGAGATCCCCAAACATACAGCCTGAATAACATGGTTTATTTCTACCAAGATGATAGTGTTGTAACGGGGGATGCCCCCCACCACCCTAGATATGGGGGAGGGGATGGGGAGCACCAAAAAATGGTGCATGAGCAGCAGGCCCACTGTGGCTGCCTAACCAGCATATGTCACCCTGGAAACCAGGGCAACAACAGCGGACTCTGAGGGAAGCCTTTAAACAGAAGGGTGTGAAGAAATGCAGCCCTCTTTGGATCTCCCCTTTTTCCTAGCAGGCCCCCGGGGGCTTGAGTTCCTGGGCCACAGGCCTGCACAGTCCAAGAACATTCTCAGGGCCCCTCCCTAAGCACTTTAGGGCCTGCCTGAAGCACAATGGGAATTAGGCCGGTAAGCGGAGAGGGGAGGAGGCTCAGGCAGGTGGGCCCAGGGAGCGTGGCCGGGCAGCAAGTCCTACACCCCTCCCCTGCATGAGAAGCCTCAGTGGCAGCTGCCCACCTGCCACCTCCCCACTCCAGTGCAGGCCTGTCAGTGGCAATTTTCCGCCACTGCTGCTGCTCTACCTGCTCCAGTCTGGGCAGGCTTAGTGGACTGGGCAGTGCCAGTACTGAAGATGGTACAGCAAGAAGAGAAGTATTAAAGGAGAGGAGGCCCAGGTCAATGGATGTTGAGTGTGGCACAGCTGGATGACAAGCCCCACACCCCTTCCCCGGCACAGGAAGCCACAGCGGCATCTGGAACTGTGCTATGTGGGACACCCTGGAGGGCACCAGCCAGAGCTAGAGGATAGCACGCCACAAACAGGACACCTGGCTGCACAACTCCAAAAGATGCCTGAAGCCATACAGTGACTATAAACCAGCTAAGCCACCAACATTTCTTAAAGGATGATACTTCTGGGTGGAAGAAGAGGTTCCTGGTGCAAACTTGAACTGAGCTGGCAGAGGGTGGCAAAGTGATTCTCACTGAGTGTCTTAAAGGAGATGGGCTTTGAGGCAGAAACCTGACATTATTTCAAACTGTATAGACTCTGAATAGAAGATTCTTTTCCTTTCCACTGAACTCTGCCTCCAGAATTTTTGTGTGTTGGCAATGAGCAGTAGGACCCTCCTGGTTGTTCGGCAGCAGTATGTGTTCCTGTGTGGGTAGGACCCTACTGGTTGTTCGGCAACAGTGTGGGGAGTCCAAGTTGTCATCATGGTTTGAAGGTGTTCCCAAGTCCCTAGGGCTCTCTAAAACACCTTCCTCCTCAGCCACACCAGACACAGCTTAGAATAGCTTTTACCCAGAGCACTCCTACTCTCTTTGGACTCAGCTCCCTGATCCAACCTGCCCCAGACTCTGTTTCCCCCAACAAGAGGCTCATTTGTGTGCCTTCCCAAACTACAGGGCAAGTTCCCTGAGATAACGTTGACCTCTCAGAATAACACAGGGCCAATGTAGGCAATTTCTTTTTTATGATTGTTATTAAGTATTACTGTTTTCCTTTCTGTGGCTATAGTTTACATCTGGCCATATCCCTGACCTTTGGGCAAATTACTTCTGTGCCTCAGTTTCTTCATCTGTAAAATAAGAGTAATCATAGTTTGCTTCCTAACATTGCTCTAAGGATTGAATGAGCATAAAGCATTTAGAATTGTACCTAACACATGCTATGTGCTCTTTAAACAATCATCAACATTACCATCTATTTTGATTCTGTCAACTTCCTCATGACATAGATGGGCAGGCATCATCTCATTTACAGATGCAGAAATGAAGGACCAGATAGCTAAAACGAGTTGACCAAGGCCACTGGGCTGGTAGGTGGGGGAATGGGGATTTAACCCACACCTGAACCTCAGTTTCCTCATGATAAAATTGGGGTGTGATGGCACCCCTTTATGGAATTACGTTATGAGAATCCAATGCCATCACACAATCAAGTGACCAGCACATGGAGGGCACTATTCAAATGTCCGTGCACTTCCCCTTTATGGTGCCCATCCTGTCACCCCGATATCCTCATGCAGCCACCAGGGATCCCAGCTGCCCTGCTCCTGGCAGCCCTAGGGTCAGCTGCTTATTTGGTTGGCAGGGGCAGATGAGCTCACAGAGAGGTCTATTGAGTCTGTCCTCTAGGGCTCTATTGTTGGGGCCTCCGGCCAGGGTCCAGCCCCAAGGAATTATCAGCTGCCACTGGGGGAAGTCTTGGCTTCCGACAGTGGGGAGGGAGGAGAGGGGACAAGAGGTGACTGTCCTTCAGGGCTGAATCATCAACCCGGTTCTGTTGATGAAGAAACAGAGGCTCAGAGAGCCGATGTGACTTGTGTGGGCAATGCTTATGTCAAGTCAGAGTGATCAAAGATGGGGCTAGGGGCTTTATTCCAGTAGGGGGAGCATGAGACCTCAAGTCAGAGAGGTGACGGATCCTCTTGCGCCAGAGCACACAGCCCCACATTCCCATTTTACTCGCAGAAACAGAGTGCCCAGAGCCCAGACGTTTGCCCAAGGTCACACAGCGACTCTATCTCAGTGTCGGCCAGGAAGCCAAGCGAGCCGAATTCCTAGGCTCTGGTTGCCTTGCGAGATTGCAGAAATGGGGAGCGGCCAAGGACCAGGTTTAGGATGGCCCCTCCCCTGGGGCGGGGCGATGCCGCAAGGAGGTTTCAACGAAGTGACGCACGGCGAAAAAAACTCGCGGGGGCTGTCCGCCCCCGAAAGGGCGTGGTTTTCCGAACCAGGCGCGAGTCCACTGGGTATTTGCTTGAGGAAGGCGGGACTTAGCGCTTGATAGGCGCTAAGGGCGTGGCCTCCTTCAAGTCGTAACCCTCACTGTGAGACTCCAACCTCCTGTGACGCTAGCGCAGGCCGGGCGGAGCTGAGCCTGCGGGAGCTCCGCCCCCAGCGGAGGCAGCCGAGCCTGGGGGCGTGTCCTGGGCGGGGCTGTGCCCCGTGCCGCCCGGTAGTGGAGCGGTGGCCAGCGCTGGGATTACCCGGCCTCGGGATGTGAGTTTGGCAGGGGTCGGGGCAGGGGGTGGGGCGCCTAAGTCCCCGGCGTTCCCAAGGGTCCCCCTTGGCGGCAGCACAGTGTGCGGGCGGCCGGACGGGCCCGCCAGGTGCGGGCCCAGGTTTGGCAGGAGAGGGGTCGTTCGGGTCCGGTTCGCCCAGGCCAACCCAGTGCTCCTGGTCACCCCGTGCCATTTCTTTGCTGCCGAAGGGACGGGAGCCCGTCGCGAGGCCGCGACCCAGGCGGGGGCCCGCGACCTACACGGGTATTACGTCTCCTCTCGGGCCCCACCAGCCTTGCGGAGGCCCCTGCAGTGGCAGCAGCTGGAGCCGCCCCTGTGCGGCAGCTGCGGAGGGTTGATGGAGTGGGGAGGCGGGTAAGATGCGCGGTGGGCCGGAGGTGACCAGCATCCCTAGCTCCGGGTTGGGCCACGGTCTGCGGGAGCCCCTACCGGCTGTTTCTGGGACCCCAGCTCTCCTGACCAGGACGCCTTCTTTGCTCAGCTGTTTAGATGCATAATCTTGATCCTCGCAACAGGTACATGTTTTTTAGGAAACTGAGGCCTAGGGCCACTCAGCTGTTCCGTGTAATTGCTATAACGTGGAAATGAAGTGCCAAGGTCTTGCAGTCAGACACACCTGGGTGTATATCCGCTGCTCCACAGACCCGCTGTGAGACCTTGGTTCCCTCTCCAAGCCTTTTGATGAGATGGTGGTGCCTACTTCCCAGGACTGCTATGAGGATTGGGTTGGACAGTTGAGGGAAAGAGCCAATGCTCAGCAAGGATCCGCTATTATTGTTGCTGTTGCTAAGTGGCCCATTTTCTGCTGCTGCAGGAGCTAGTGGTACCAGGTCAGAGCTATTTGGTAAATCAAAGCTGACTGGTGCAGAAGGGGAGGCTGCTTCCCACACTGAGCCCATCCCTATCTGTGTATTCTGACCCTATGCACTCGGAAGGCCACATACAAGCCAGCTGTACCAGCATGTTCCGGAGACTCGGTGGCCCATCGTGTACTCGCCCCGCTACAACATAACTTTCATGGGCCTGGAGAAGCTGCACCCCTTTGATGCAGGAAAATGGGGCAAGGTGATCAGCTTCCTAAAAGGTATGGAAGGCCCCACCTTGGAGCCTGCATCTGCTTCCTTTACCCTCCCCTACTGCTTTTCCCTAAAACAAGCTTCAGACTCTCCTACCAACAGTCTCAACCTCAGACTGCCTTCCACCCATACTGTTAAAAGGATCATTCCAACAGACTTCTAAGCGTGACAGGTCCCTGTCTCATACCTTCCCTGGGTCCCCATCATTGTGGACCTAACTCCTGTGTCTTCCCCTGGAAGCCCAGTAGAAAGGGAGCTAATTAATGGACACAGGAAGGTGAAGTTTGGAGGAATCCAGTGTCCATCCCTGAGAAGTTCAGAGAATCCAAGAGTAAGAGAACTTTTGCTTCAACACCATTGATTACCAATGGAGGAAATGGGTCCCAGAAAAGTTAGGAAACATGCCCACAGTCACATTGTTACTAAATGGCAGGTGGGGGAGGCGGGAAGCGGGGAGCGGTCTGAAACTCAAGAGCTCCAGGCTCCCACCCTTCCTGGCTTATCCCACAGAGCAAGGTGATGCTTGCACTTTCAACTGCAGTGTGGGAAATTCAGGCATTGCAGCAGGCTAGTGTGAGGATGTTCTCCTTTTTCCCTCTGTCAAGAGTCTAACTGAGAGAAGTAGGAAATGTTAAACCTTAATTGTTACATGGTGTAAGATGAATTATCCTTCTAATCACACCTTGGAGAAAGTCTTACTTTGGGGCTAGCCCATTTTTAACACTAAGCCCCATCTCCCTTTTGAACAAATTTGGAGCAAGCCAGAGGCTCTGTGCCTCACAGAAAATAGAATCAAGTTACAGATTAATAACACTGTTTCTATTGTACTTGTTTTTTGTTTCTGGTTAACTTCTATTTATGGCAAGTGATACTAATTTTCTGTTTGCAGCAGTGACTAGAGTGAGTATTCACAGAAAAATATTAAGTAGAAAAGAATACAAGTCATGTATAGTTCGCACATCTGGTGAAGTGAGCAGTTTTCTTGCCTTCGCTGAATATGGTCCTTCATGCTATTTCCAGTCTGAGTCACTCTCCCCATTTCCCTTTCTTGGGCTCCTTTGTCACCTAGTAGCACTACAGAATGGCTCCTTGTCTGCCTCATCTGGAGGCAACAGTCCTTCTGAATTCCCTCCTTTCTCCTATGAGGATATAGGAGGAAAGGAAACGGGAGCGACATGTGAAGGGCCTTGGGTACCTCCAAGAAAAGAGCTGGCCCTTTGCCTGAAAGCATTGGGGAGCCATGGAATGGATGTTCTGGGGTGGAGTTAGGGGGAGTACCAGCTGTATGTAGAACTATATGTGGGAAATGTATGTAATAAGTTGGTTTCTGTGCGGGTTGGTTTCTAAGGTTAATACTTTAAAACAGGTCCCTAGATTCTGACCTTGTTCATCCCTTTGATTTCCCTAAAACCCAGAGCATCACGGGCCTCCTCTCACTGCTCTAGAGCACTTCGTGGTCTTGACCTCAGTTTCTTTTTTTCTCTTTTCTTTTTTTCTTTTTCTTTTTCTTTCTTTTTTTTTCCAAATGGAGCAAATCTTTTCTGATATATGTGAGGGGTGATGAAATAATGCAGTGTTTCTAAACATTGGTCATTTGCAAATCACACTTGGGACCTTCATATCATCTGTTCCATTATTTACTTCATATTTTTTATTGACTTAGTCTTTGTTTTTAAAAACTTAAATAAACTTGTTTTCAAAGGAAACAAGTTTAAACCTGACTGGTGTGGCTCAGTGGATTGAGTGCCAGCCTGCAAACTGAAAGGTCACTAGTTCAATTCCCAGTCACATGCCTTGGGTTGCGGGCAGGGTCCCCAGTTAGGGGCATGCAAGTGGCAATCAATTGATGTATCTCTCACACATCAATGTTTCTCTCCCTCTCTTTCTTCCTTGCTTCCTCTCTCCCTAAAAATAAATAAATGAAATCTTTTTTTTTTAAGGCAACATGTCATCTAAATGGGAAAACCCTGTTTTACTTGCCATAAATAGAAAGTCATGGTAAAATATAAATGCATTGAAAACAAGAATATAACTCAATCAGGATGATTACTATTGCTGCAGGCTATGAGACTGATTTTGGGGGGGTTAAAAAAGGAGATGATTATGGGTCAGGCAGATGTTAAAGAACAGCCACACCACACTGAGCCTCCCATGGTGCCATCAGAAGGTGGAGAGAGAATTAATTGATCAAAGAGCTTTTCTCACCTTGAGAGTCAACATTATGGACCCGGTGTCATCTGCCTCTGAAAGTTCTCCAGACACACCTGAGCTTACCTCATGACTATCAGTGGCTTGGGAAGGATCACTGTGTGACCAGTGTCCAAAGTCCCCTGGCCTAAGGGCCTGGCCATTGTTCACACTGGCCTGGGAGGTGGCCCCTTCTCAGAATGCCCAGAATCCAGGAGAAGCAGCGCCCTCCTTCTCCTGGGGCAGGGCTGACAGAGGCCAAGTCTGCAGCCTGTGGGAGGGTCTGGGGCTGGGCCTGGCCCTCCCAGCAGGGAAGCATGGCTCCCATTTTATGGTTTCAGAAGAGAAGCTTCTGTCAGACGGCATGCTGGTAGAGGCCCGGGAAGCCTCAGATGAGGACCTGCTGGTGGTGCACACGAGACGCTATCTCAACGAGCTGAAGGTACACAGCCAAGGGCCTGGGGGCTGCCACAGGCCAGAAGGGCTGCCAGCCAGGAGGAGTGGCCAGGGGAGAGGCAGCTAGCCTGGAGAAGCACAGCTCAGTGGGACTCAGTTCCTGTTCATAGTGCAGGAGAAGCATGTGAGTCTGTGGTCCACAAGAGAAGGAGCAAGGTGTCATAAAAAGGCAGACACCAGGAATGGGCTAGACTGCATCAGGGTACTCCCTGGCATACTTCATCTTGGAGTATGAAAGAAGGGATGTCCACTTGGTGGAGAGCAAAACTTTACAAGGATTGGAGACTCTACATTAGTGACTTTCAATCTGTGTTCTATGAACAGTCCTCAAAGACTCCTGCTAGAATGATGGTCAGGGGTACCCCAGCTCCTATCCCCATCCAATCAAAGCTGTTCTATTTTGACCTATTTTTTATTGGGCTGAAGTTTACGGTTTTGTTTTAAGACCTTCTGCTAAAGGCTTGTTGAAAACCCCTGGGCTAAAAATGAGTTTGAACCTACCCCCCACCCTCCCAGGGCCTAGCATGGGACATAAAGAAAAGGTCAGGCAGGTGACGGTGATATGTGGGTGAACTGGAAAGCTGCTGCCCTTCCCAAGTGGGTGGCTGCTACTCAGCTCCACTGCAGGCCCAGCATGGCAAGAATGCCTGGCTTTAAAAAAGGCCAGAAACCCAGATTCTTAAGTGACATTCCTGATATCTTATTGTGGCAGTTCATTTAGGATTTTAAAATCCCACCTGCAGACCATACTGGGCCATGCTCATGAACTCTTTCTAGAGGACCCTGTAGCTGTCGTCAGTAGCTGAGGTTCTGAGGGTGGAGACATTCTGTCAGTCCTCTTTGTGGGAGCAGAGGGGAAGCTGGACAGGAAGTTGCATGAGAACTTGGTGCTGTTAGCTTGCCTTGGTGGGATAGGAATGGAGTATGTTCTCTGCCCCCAAGAGATGGGAGCCCTATACACCTGAAACTATATAATTTTATTACAATGTCACCTCAGTAAATATAATGACATTTTTTTAAAAAAAGTATGTGGGACCCCTGACCCCCGAGGCTTCCAAGATGGACTTATTTTAGACCCAGAGCCATAGTAGATGCCAGAGGTGATCAGCCCTCTTCCCTCCATACGTGTGAAGCCTAGGCCCAGAAAGAGGCCACAGCTGCTCAAGGTCACCCTGGAAGTCAGGCAGGCCTGGGGGAGACCCCAGGTAAGGCATCCAGTCCTGTCTTTCTGGTTCCTAGTCACAGCTGCTGCTCCCCCTTCTCCCAGACTCTGGCCTAGCTGTGAGAATTCTAGATGGAGTCGTGACAGTGTTAACTCATGAAAGAGTACAGGAAGAAGTTGAAACCTGGCTCCTGGGAGAGAGAGCCGTGCAAGGCCGTGGCAGGAAGCCCAGCACTTGGCTGCCCTGGTTTCCTGGGGCCTGGACATGCATGATCAGAGTCCATAGCCCAGGGGCTGGGCCGGGAGGACATGCCTGCCAGAGTCCAGGGAGTGAGGACTGGGTGCAGGGACAGGGGGCATTGAGTTGAGGCAGGAAGAGACCAGAACAGAGGAGGATCTGGGTAGGTTAGCATGATAGGATAAGGCTAGCACTTCAGGGCCCTACCCATTTGAGGGACCCTTATAGTGTAACTGTGTGGGGCCTACTGGATGCCTGGTGCTGTACTCCCAAAAGCCTGAGGGTAGCTTACTATGTGATAAGTAATAATTAAAATATTAGCAGGTAGAGTCCCAAGTAGAAAATTGAGGTCGAGGGCAGGGGGAGAATTCAGCTACCTAACTGGAAGAATTAATCGAGATGGTACAATTGAATTCCATGTTTGACTTGGAGCTCCCTGGGAGCCAAAGCAAAAGGAGAAACATAATGAATTCCATAGTACCTACTAAGGTGAAGAAGTATTGTCATTCAGCATCAATATTGAATACTGGCTGTGTACTAGGTACCAAAAAAAAGAGTAAACAAAGTTCCCTGGTGGCGTGGATTTGCATTTTCATTATGGAAGACTGAAAATAAATAACCACACAAAGGCATTTCAGAGAGCACCAAGGGCTGTGAAGGAAGAAAAAATGGAGGGTAACTGGATGGAGGTAAGCTCATTTAAACTGAGTGGTCAGAGAAAGCCTCACAGAGGAGGTAAGGGTTGAACAGAGATTAAATGAGTAGGTAACACAGGTAGAGGTTTGAAAAAAGAATGCACCAGAGTTTCAGGCTTGGGTGGGAAGGGACTTTGCTTCCTGAAAGGGAGAAGGATGCTTCTTGAGTAGCTAGGCTGAAGGCACATGATGTGCTCAGGGAGGCCAGCAGCACCAGGCTACACAGGGTTTTGCAGGCTGTGGGAGGAGTTTGGATTCTGTGGGATAGTGATATGGTGCAATGTGTCCTTGATGCTCAGGTGAGACCCACTTAGGGCATTATCTGATATCTAGGTGTTGCAGCGGAGAGACATCCCATTCAGCCCACAGACATATGCAATATTTCTTTTTTCCTTTCTGTGCTGCAGACAGCTGGAGCAGTGCCCTGGAGAGTGCCTGCAGGTCTCCTAGGGCTGCTTTTCATTGGCCGTTCTGTGTGTGCTGTGGAACATCCCCCCTCTCCCCTGTCCCACCCCTGCTGTGCTCCCCTTCCTTTGTTCCAAGCTTCATGCCTGGCCCTGCACTGGTGTGGCCTTCGATGCTTAATAAACAGGGCATTGAAGGAGATCCTATAACCTGATGTTTGACAGATGATATTCATTCAGAGAAGCAAATGTCTACTGAGCACCTACTGTGTACAAGGCCCAGAGGTGGCCCCACTAAAGGTAGTGGTTAGATCGGGCCAGCACAGGGCTCTTGCCCCTTGCTGACCCCAGTGACAGTTTTCCATAGGGTGTGTCATGCAGATTTGACATCTTGTCCTTGTGTGTCCTGAGCCGGGCAGTGTTCAGGACATGCTTAGCCAGCATTTAGTAAGCACCATGCTCTGTTCTGGGTGTGGGGAGATGGAATGGAACAAAAGAGACCAAGCCCCTCTCCCACAGAACTGGCGTTTAGGTAAGGAGTCAGCTAATGACATCAAAATCAAGTCAATGATATAGTACCTTAGAAAGTGCTCAGTGCTCGGAGGAGAGTACTACAGGAAATGGGGTTGGGGAGGACTGTAGTTTGAAATAGGGAGTCATGGAGGATCTTACTGACATGTGGTCATGAACTGAAGACAGTGAGGTGGTAGACTATGTGGGCATCCAGGAAGGCATTCTAAGCAGAAGGAATGGCAAGTGCAAAGGCCACAAGGCAGTGGTGCCTCCAGCAACACTGGGGAAGCCAATGTGGCTGGATTGGAGGGAAGGGGAAGAAGACTGGTAAGAGATGGCGTCAGAAAGGGATCAGGGCCAGACCACATAGGGCTTTGCGTGCTGCTGTGGCTTTGCTCTGAGGGAGTAGAGAGCCAAGGATTGTTTTAAGGAGAGGGACATGATCTGACCTAGGTTTTAACTGAATTGCTTGGCAGCTGTGATGAGAATAGGCTGTCAGACAAATGCAGGGAGACCAGTGAGGAAGGAGGTTGTTGCAGTAACCATTATGAGAGATCCTGGATTCTCAGACTAGGCTGGAAGCAGCAGCTGAAAAACAGGATTTTCTGTTGTTCAGACTGAGTATGGGGCATGCCAGAAGGAATATAAGGACACCTCAGAAATTTTGACTTCAGCCCCAGGAAGCCTGGGCACAAATTGGGTCTAGTCACTGCCCTTATGGTGCTCCCAGGCCTGTGGGAGAAAGGGAAGCCTGGTACCAGAAGGCAGATGTCCCAGGAGAGTCTGTGGGGAAATGGGATCCCTCATGTCTCTGATTCTCTCCCAGCCTTACTTTTCCTCCCTGACGGGGCCCCTTTCTCCTTTCTTTTATTGTGGTAAAATTCACATAACATAAAATTAATCATTAACCATTTCAAAGTGTAAATTTTAGTGGCATTTAGTATATGTACAATGTGCTGCAACCTTCACCTCTGTCTAGTTCCAAAACATGTTCATCACCCCAAAAAGAAACCCTGTACCCACTAGGCAGTTTCTCTCCATTCCTTTGTACCCCCTACTGGAGGGACCAGCCATCTGGTTTTGCCGTTTCTGAATGTTTTATATAGTGTACCTGGAATCATACAATACGTGATCTGTGTCTGGCTTCTTTCACTGAGCATAGTGTTTTCCAGAATCATCTATCTTGTAATATGTATCAGTATTCTATTCCTTATTAAGGCTGAATAATATTCCATTGTGTGGATAGGCTACATTTTGTTTATCCACTTATCAGCTAATGGACATTTGAGTTGTTTATGCTTTTGGCCTTTATGCAGTGTTACTGTGAACATTCAGATACAAGGATTTGTTTGCATACCTGTTTTCAGTTATTTTGGTTATATACCTAGCAGTGGAATTGCTGAATCATATGGTAATTCTGTTTAACTTTTTGAGGAATCACCAAAATGATTCCCATAGCAGCTGCACATTTTATACTTCTAACAACTACACAAAGGTTCCAGTTCCTCTATATTCTCACCAACACTTAACTTTCTTTTTCTTTTTTTTGTGGCTAATTTAGTGGGTGTGAAGTGGTATATTATTATGATTATAATTTGCATTTCCATAATAGTTAATAACATTAAGCTTATCTTCATGTGCTTGTTAGCCATTTAAATATCTTCTTTGAAGAAATGCCTATTTAATTCATTGGTCCATTTTTAAAATTGGGATGTTTGTCTTTGTTGTTGAGTTGTAGTTCTTTATATGCTGTGGATATTATATGATTTGCAAATAATATTTTCACTCATTCTGTGGGTTGTCTTTTCACTCTTTTTATAATGTCCTTTCTTACACAAAATTTTAAAATTTTGCTAAAGTTCATTGTATCAATTTTTTTCTTATATTGGTTGTGCTTTCAGTGTCATATCTAAGAATTCATTGCCAAACCCAAGATCACGACGATTTTTACCCCTGTGTTTTCTTCTAAGAGTT